TTACTTCCAGGTTCTGACTGTTTTGAATATTTCCTTTTTTCTTCAAAAAGTGCAAAGTACAGTCAAATCTCTCCACAACGGCCACCTTGGGGACAGAGGAAAGTGGCCACAATAGAGAGAGGCTGTTAGTGGAGGTTCGACTTTTCTCAAGGAAAAAAATCATTTTAAATGTTTTTTGTTTTTTTTAATTTCATTTTCAGTTTTATGCATTTTACAAGCAAGCAAAGGAGGGTGAATGTTCCGAATCAGAGCCTGGGTTTTGGGATGTAGTGAGAAAAGCAAAATGGTAATTATTGTAAATACACTTACAGTGCGACTAATTGAACTGGGTCACCTAGAAGAAAACTAACCAATCAAAACATAAACTGAGAACGATGGACTGGTAACTTCTCATGACAGCAAGTAACAGTCTGTTTGATGTGAAAACATTATTATATTGACTTCTCTGCGTTATATACACGCTTAGAGATTCAGATCTTGATGACGAATTATCATGATAATTGTAACTCTCGCTCAAAAGATTTAGCTTGAAAACTCATTTTGTGACAACTAAACTGAAACCATTGAAAAGTGTACAAAATTTAAGTTACATGTAGAAACTAGGCAATCAACAAATGGCAAAGTTTCTTGAGTCTGAGGTTTGCAGCAACTCACACTTTGATGGGTTTCTAATTTTGTTAGCATCTGTTGTTTGTATTCTTAAATGTTACTGGTTTATTTGAGAAAAAGATTGCTCTCCTTTGTTGTCAAATAACGTTCTGATCGATTGGTTAACTCTTTTCCAAGTGGCCCAGTTCAAGTAGTTGTGCTATAAAAGTCATGCCAGTTTAAGTAAACGGGCAACTCTCTTTGCACATTCTGTTGATCTTCTAGGAGAGAGACATTTGAGACTAGATCTGGAAAAACTCTGTACTTTCTGATGAATTAGCTCTGTAGCATACTCCATGTACATGTAGAAACTCACTGGTTTTTGTTTTGCTCTGAAATCTGCTGCACAAGGACAAACAATCAGAGAAGAAAGTAGTGTACATGTAGACATTTACTTAAGAGTCAAGAACCGTCAGTGACATTTATTATTCTAGTGTATGAAGTGAGGAAATCTTTGCAATGACATTGTTTAAATTGCATTTTATTAGACAAGTGCTAGTGACTGTTGCTGTGAACTGCTAGCACATTGTAGTTTGTGAGAACTTTTGCAGTAAACTTTACAACTTTGATCTGAAGTTTGCATTTTGATTGACAACTTTATAATCAAAGTGACCAGTGTGCAGCACACCTTTGTAATTTCAAATGAACTGCAGAAACTGTTGGAAAATGTTGTGTCCAGCCACACTGTTATTAAAAATGAAAGTATTGTATTGCAAAGATCACTTTCACTTTCTACTCTGACCATCTGCAGTTCATGTGATCTTTCTTTCACACATAAGCCTGGTTCATTGTTCTCATATGCCGCCAACATACCTGGGACATAGCTGCCGGCATGGCCTGGGACACCGTATGGTATATGTGAACATTTATTGCGGTATCATAATCTGTTCCAGGCATTGACTGCTGGCTTACCTGCGAAGTTGAGCTGAATTCAACTTCGCAGGCAAGCCGGCGTTTGTTGGCAATGAAATATTTTATGTGAACATCATCTGGACCATCTGTGGATACAACGTATGACGTAACAACTCGATTTTTTCCCACAATTCCATACTTTACAGATGGAATGGTTGAAATTTGCGCCAATTTGATTTGCACTTTATGCCAATTTGAGTAAGTTGGTGATCCATCACAGATGTGCCAGGACGCACTGAAATAGATCGCCGAATGTTGTCACTTGCATCGGCGATTACGTTGCAGGTAGGTCGGCAGCATTTGAGAACTAGGCTATACAGGTACCATTTGTTATGTGTGGAATTATGAGGCTACTAGTGGAAGGCATATTTCAAACTACCCGTAATTCATTAACTTATGTTTTAAATTGCTTCTTCACATAACAGGAAGGCTTGGCATGGGCTGGGTCAAATGTCAAAGCAAGATGCTATGGAGTCTTACGTCTCTGAATTAAAACAGGTCAGCATACATCGAATAGAACTGCTTCAAGGAAGCATTACCTACTGTAGAATGATAATAGGGTCATTGTCCAGACTCTACTCTCATTAGCTCCATACTGCTCTATGAGGTTAAGATCTTTGTCAAAGACTCATTAACATGAAGAGAAAGCCAGGCACAAAATGTGGATCTCCAAAAATTAAATGTGCACACTTTTTTTAGCCATTAAGGCTGGACTAAGTTGACTGAAGTGATGAAGAGGCAGCGAGAGAGTGATAATCTGGGTGTCATTGACAGACCACAAGTGGTTTTGAAAAATATTTTTATTGGTGATTTTCAAGGTTTCTTACCACGTACTGTCCCCACATGATAGTCATCAATAATTGATCAGAAACTGTAGTTGTTCAGTTTTTGTGAAAACCATTTTATTAGAAGTTCATTTTTTTGTAACACATGAAGTTTTGTCAGAGAAGGTAGTGAGAGTGACTGTCTAGAGAAGTCAATCCCATGCCTCGTTAGTTTGACAGTTTTGACTGGTTTAAATTACAGTATATTTGTAATAATTATTGGTCACATTTTGTGTATTGGTTGCTACCTTCAGTACACGTCTGTGTTCATTTTTAGGTAATGCAAAACTTGCCAGATGGCGATGAAGCAGCAGAGTTTAGTGAAGTGCTCAAGGCATTTTATACTTTAGTCTACGAAGGTCAAGATGAGCAACCTCCTGCAATTCTTAAAATGTTTGAGAATGAGAAAAAAGTTCCAGAAAAGCTCAAGGCCAGTAAAGAAATCAAATCAAAAGGACATCACGCAGCACATGACGAGAATGTGCCAAATGGATACAGTGATGAATGTGATGTGAATGGTACTTGCGAGGAGTTCCCAGTTAAGGTCAATGGATTTCCACATAGAGATAGCATGGACATGAGAGCAGGATTTCCACATAGGGATAGTTTGGCACTCAGACACGGAAAGCAGTATGATTTAAATGGCCTACAGTTTTCAAATGCAGTAAATCCAGTTCTTATTATATCCCCGGATGAATTAAAGGAGGAAAGTGATGGTGAATTGAAGGAGGGTGAAGATGACGATGATAGTGGAATTCAGAATGAATTGTCTGAAGGTACATGCACCACTGTTGCTACCTTAGATGAAACACATGCACTTACAAAACAAAGTGGTGATCTCATGTCTTATAAAAGTAACAGAAACTTTTGGGGCATAGAACACAGGGCATGGTGGGGTAATCGGGGGTTTCATTAGCATTTCAAGGGCAACTGGTTCTGACAGGAGGGCAAAACCTTTTGAAATGAACTTCTCTAGATGGTTAAACCAGGCGGGCAAAATCATCCTCACAACCAGTCAATTTGCCCAGTGCCAGCTTTTGATGAAATTGCTGGGAGTAATGGTGCACTAGAATGAAAGCTCCTTTCAATCTTTGCAGGAAGAAAGATTAAGTTCTGACTCTTATTAGAGGTTTAAGGTAGTTCAAACTCCTTTATTATCTTACAGATTACCTGATAATTTGCTAGTTAAGAATGACCTCCTACTGCTCTCAGAAAACCTTGTGGTATCTGATTTATTTTCAGTTCCACCTTTGACACCAAGTAATGGTGATTTACTGAGACCCAAAGGAAAAAGCGGAGTCATTTTGACTAGTGACGAGAGTGAAGAAGACGAATTTTGTGACTCCTTAGACCCTGAACATCTGAAAGAGTTGCAGAATGGAAATCATAAGGCAGAAGAAGAAGAGGAAGAGGAAGATGAAGAGCTCAATCTTGATGACAAACTTCAAACAGTCAATTCAACAAGGAGCAGCAATTCTACTAGCTCACCAGAACATGCCACAAACTCAACATTGTCAGAATCTGAAAATTCTGATTTAGAAAGCAATTTAAAAAGCTC